GCCTGCGGCCAGAGGGTTGATTCAAGGAACAGGAACAAGTGTCAGACTAGGGACGTGGTGTGAAATACAAGTTACACATGGCCGATGCAGGTGAGTTCAACCCAAAGCTGATGGGAAACACATCATAAAACCTTTCAGAGGACTTGAAGCCTGCTTTCCCTTGGAGCTGGCAGGGTTGCTTGAGAACAGGGACAGTGCTGGACCTCCCCCTTTCAAGGCATTTCTCACCGGCGTGAGGCTGCCCTGTAAACCTTTGCGTTCAGGTCATCGCCACAGGGATCCCAGACTCGACCACCCCCAAACCAGGACAGCTCACCCCGTTGGCAGCCACGCCACGGGCCATTCCACATACGCTGTGTGTGACCGGCAAAGCAGACCCGGACAGCAGCCATTCTCGTCCCACTCAGGTGCCCAGCCACGAGACCTCCAGGCCCCACATGCCACCACTCAGGGGCAGGTGGAGATCCCTGGCCAGCAGTGACCTTCGGAAGATGGCAGAACCCACCTCTTCCATAGGCACGACTGCTTCTGAAGTCAAACGTGAATTTTAAGAAGAGAGGTGACCATGTATAAGTGGCTGCTTCAGAACAGCCTCAAGCCTTCACCACTCTAAGGATCAATACACACAGCCAGGGCCAAGGTGGTGTTAGCATCTAGGTATTGGAAGAACCCTCTCTGGAGCGTTCCCTAGTACCGAGCCACATCCTTACATGTGGACAACACAATACACGTGGACAGGAACTCCTACGCATGAAAGGGCTAACAAAGAAGTCAGCTTTAAAGTAGGGAGAAAAGACTGATGTTGCATTTCCCCAAATCACTTTAGGTAGGGCCTGTAATAAATCTTTCTAAAACTGAATGTAGGTTACTTTGCATCTTTGATGGAGCCATGACTTCAACAGCAAGGAGGCTTGGTTTTACACTCACAATGAACATTGTTGTTTCCTGGACACACACCCTTCAACCCTCTAGTGTGCAAGGAAGTTCATACACTACTGGAAATCCGCGATACCAAAAAGCAGAGATGCAGAGTGGCAGCAAATGGCTGCTTTCCAAACTGCTTTCTTACAGAATCGACACAGCCACAGAACACGGACTGCACTTTCCAGGTCCTCCACAGGCACGCTTTGCACATTTTGCCCGGTGCGTGCCTTACATTCAACACAAACTACAGTGCACCCTTATAAGTCAAAAATGTTTTGCTTGGGGACACCCTAAGAGAAGCCCTCCTGAGCCAGAAAACACACCACGTGCTGGCAGCCCACCGCAGAAGAGCAGCATCTCCTCTGCTTTAAGACAAGGGCCTCTTCTGCCCACCCTGCGCTCACATGCAGAGCAAGGAGCCCGTGCACCAGAGCTGCTGTTTTCAGAGGGTACAAAATCCAGTTTGGCAGCATATACAGAGTAGATAGACCTGGAGCTGGCAGCAGTTTCCATCAGGAATTATGGGGAATACACAGAAAAAGAGCTAGATTGCATACCATGGGATTGCAGAGGTTCGACGGGTTTTAACATCAGCTGCTTTAACACCAGGACTTCTCACCCCCTTTTGTCCAATTGGAGCTCTAATGACCATTCTCATGCCCCACAAACACACACATTGAACTGGCGTTGAGTTAAAATGCCAATTTGGACATGGTTTCAACTTTCCTTCAGTCCAGGCATGCAATACAGGAGCAAAAACAACTCAAAAACCATATACCAGCTTCCAGTTTAAACTACTTCAGTGAACAATGGCATGAAAAGAAAGTGTCACTTGATAAAAATAACCTTTCATAAGTATCCCATGGTAAAACGCACAGAAAACTAGGTTCTGTCTATTAAAAGGTACCAAACCAAGTTAGCGCTAGCTACCAGAATTACATTCTTGCTAGAAGAGTTGTTACAAGAGAAGAGCCAAGACAGTGCAAGACCTTAATACAGATAAAACCTTAACAAATACTTCAACATCAACATTTCAGGAAGTAATTTAAGTACTACAATGTGAAGCAAGTCTTATCTGCTCTGCTGGATATAACAAAAAAATAATCCAAGAATAATCCAAGTCATACATTTAAGAAGGAAGTAATGCAATCTTTGCTTCTTGTTGCTGCAATAAATGAGACTGAAACAATACCCAGGAGAAGAAATGCATCAAGAAGATGGGTCACGTTCAGGTTTAGAAACATAGTCCAGGGCACAGAGTCCAGCATATTGTTAAAACATGCAGGCTACTGGCATTGCTTGTGGGTTGTAGAACGTCATCGGGCCAGAGCGAGGGTTATACTGCAGGTGGGCTCAGCGTCACACCCTGACCAGAGCTCTGCGGCACCCCAGCTCAGCTCCACACGCACGCTGCCTCTTCACCAAGGCGTCAGCGACCCCCAAAACACTTCTCTCCAAAGCTTGCTGCAGACGTGTGGCGAGCGGAGTATAAAAAGCAATCACGGAGCAGCAATGTGCCCAGCAGACCAGGGGCAAGGCTTCTTGCAGGGTCATCAGCACATCAGCTCAAGAGAGGAGGTGGAACAGACTAGCTCAGAGTCACTACTTGTTTGAGGGCCATTCGTTACACTGAGAGAAAAGCTGTACAAACACGTCTGCCCACCAGCTAAGCCTGGAAAAGCTTTGCCACACAAGACTGTACAACAGGCAAAGACCTCACTCGGAAGACAAGCGTGCCCAGCACACTGCCCAGCTGCTGCATGTCATGACCTACATGACAGATCGCTGCTGTACATAAAGGATATGCAGCACATTAATAAAAACTCATTAAAAAAAAAGATTACATCACATGTATATAAAAGGACTTGAGGAATCTACCTTTTAAGAGGAATCTTAAAGAACTTGAGGAATCTCCCTGTAAGAAAGGCCTGTAAACAAAGATGTCACAAGATGTAGCGTTTTAACCCTGATAGAGACTGACTGTCATCCAAACAAGAATGGGGATCGTTTCGCTAAGAGACTTGTGGTAGCCAGACCCGCCAGGGAAGGCGACAAGCATGCTGAAGGGAGGAACATAGCAGTGCTCTGGAGAACGTGAAAACCACTCTGCGGTATTTTGGTACAGCCTCTCCAACCTGCATGGAGAAGCTTGTTCAAAGCATGCTTAGAGAAGGCAGAGAAGACAAGACGACACTTGGCTTACCTAATTACTCCTATAAATAACGGATGCTATATTCACACCACTACGATTAAGCATCTGAGCACATTAGGAAATGCTTCTTCTCAGGAATTTGAACAGGGGTTGTAACAGCATCACTGCCATTCAGGTGCGTGAAGACAGCTCTCCTATGGCACTGCAACCATGTCCTGCCTAGCACTCTCACAGGTACAAGCTGGCGACTAGCTGCTACTTAGTGATTTCTTCTGTTGCTTAGTATACTGTTTCAGAAGACAGAAAGTAATTAAAGAGGATAGGGTAGAGGTCGCCTTAGGTATGGACAGAGTAAAACTCTTTGTAGACATAGGAACAAAAAAATGCAGGTTACATTTCATGGGAAAAAAAGCTTTCTGCTGTTGGAATGCAAAAATTAAATCTATTACACAGGCACGTGTACACACGGACACACAGGTACCCTTCTGTCCATCCACTAATGCTAGTCCCTCCTATACTGGCTGAGTATATACCTGAGAAACAACATTAGTGTTGAAATATTGCCCTTTAGAAAGCTTGAAAAATGGAAGGAGCAGGGAGAGAGGGTTGAGAGCGAGCATAAAGAAGCGGCAGTCTCTCCTTTCCAGCTTCCTTCGCATCCTCCACAGCTGAGAACAAGGCCATGCACCAGCGTGGACACAGCCTGCTCAGAACAAGACCAAAGGAATATCAGTTCACAGCTCTACAAAGCACACTAGTGTCAGTACAACTGGGTTTCAGATTTCAAACCTTGAATCTGAAGAAAGTTGTTGCATTTTCTATAAAGAGACTCCTGTACAAGTGCTATGGGACAGCTGCATTCATGTTCAACAACAACTCCAGCTAGACTACTTGCATCAGTGCTGGCTGCCTGTGGCTATTTGGTTTGATGGCAGAATCAAAAGGCGCTTTGACAACTTGCAGTTAACTTCTCCTCAAAACATACATTAGGCACATGAACAAAAAAAACAAGAGCTCAGAATAAATTAGCTTCTCAGCAGAAGAAAAGACACCTGGATTGCAGCATTTCACTGAGGTTCCAGAGAAGGCCGTACAGACACCTGCATGCTAGAAGGTAATTTTTTCAGTGGCTTGTCAGCAGACTGCTTGCCACTAGAAGGAGGAGACTGGACTCCGGGATCTATCTGGGAAGACTTGGACTTGCGACTAGATAGCAGAGAGTGTTTGTTGGGTGTGGCATCTTTTGGGACAAGTTTTTCTTTTGCAGTAATGCTGGCATTGGTTTGAGAGGCTGGTGGGACAACACCTTTCTCTGATTTGTCTTCCAGCACATTTTTACTGCCTGACTTGGAACTGCCACTCCCTGCCTTTTTTGAGAGCATCGTTGTCTTCCCCAGGTCTGCTGACCGTCGTGTCTCCTTCTGCCTTAAGGCTGATTTAAAGAAAGACAATCCTTTCTCTTCTGACTTACTGTCCCTCTTCAAACCAGAACGCACACCAACATTTGGAGACCGCAGGCTGGCCATAGAGGAACTCCGCACGTGCTTGCTGTCTACTGCCCTGCTGTCACTCCTAGAGTGGCTTATCCGTGGGGAGCTTGTTCTTGAACTGCTGGTAACACTTGTTTTATCCGACCCCAGACTTATCTTAGAGCCCTCCCTGCTGAGGCTTCGGTCTGAAGTCCGGCTCTTCCCAGCAGAAGAGCCCTTAGTCAATGAGCTTGATGGGGTTCTCTTGGCAGCTGTGGAGGATGGAGAACCACCCGACTTTTGCTTTTGTAGAGCTGATGGGAGAGCCACCTCAAGGGGCTTCGTGCTATGGTCCTTCCTAGCCTGAGTGGGAGCAGGAGACCCATGTCGCCCACTGGCCCTAGAGGAGTCCATCTTACTTCTAGACCGGGAAACTTTCTGGGAACTCTTTAGTGCAGGAGGAGAAGAGTGAGAGACTTTGGTCTCTTGGGTAGATAAGACTGTCCTTCCCTTCCTCAAACTTTTGTCTGGCTCAGAAATCCCCTTGGAGCTGTGAATCTTCTTAGGGGTGTCATCTGCCTTCTCTGCAGCCAGCCCTGTCCCACTGGGAGCTTTCACCTCCTTGACTGGAGAGCTATCCACAGAATCACTCTGATCAACAAAGGCGATTTGATTGTTGTTATCAAAAGGGTCCAAAGCAGGGTGATTCCTGTCTGGCTGCACAGAGCTTTTACCATATTCATCTGAAAGATCTGAGCTAGATGTCCTTACAACAGACTCTTCCCTGAATGCCCCTTCCATGACAGCCAAAGGAGCTCTGCGAGCCATCCTGTGCTCTCGCCGACTGCCATCACAGGGCTCCAAGTAGCTGCTAGAGAGATTCCTCAGGCTGCCAAAGCAAGAGGTGGAGACTTTATCATCAGCAGCCTCCCCAATCTTCTCCAGGGTGGAAGCAGAGGTATGTACAGGGGAATCTCCAGAGAAGCGTGATGGAGAGTTGGAGCGCAACTGCAGTTTTGCAGAGAGCGACCACGAGGGCCTGACACCGTTTTCACTCACTGCCAGTGGGCTGGTAACAGAAGATCTGGATGACAAGCTCTGACGCTGGACGCTTCTCACAAATGGCCGAGTTGAAAATCCTCCTGCAGAGAAAGAAAGCAGCATCCTCAGAATGAAAGCCAAGCCTGCAGTCGGTTTATCCCACCTATCCACAGATGCTGTTTCCCCAAGAGAGTCGGATGGCTCACCCACACCACATTGCCTATCTCTTCATGCCTGCTGCAGCTGCAGGCACAGCTTCTTGCATGAAAGCCGAATAAGGAATTCAACAACTGTTACTTGCTAGTGGTCACCCACAAGTAACTCTCTGAAGCCTGTAATTGAAAATCCAGATTTTCCTCTCATCCCTGAGCAGCAGGAGACCAAACACAGGTTTTGCACCTTGGAAATCCTTGAAACTAGCAATGAATACACCAACTACGATCATGCTCCCAGAAACAGATTTTTCTATATTAAAGAATATTTCCCATTCCAACCTGTAAAAGGCAAAGTAGCATTCCTACCTCTTCAGATAAAGCAATGTATTTGTATTTACAAATACAAAGTACAACAATAAGCATTTTAGAAATGTGATTACCATGGCTAGATCTGACAGTTATCATAACACTGGTGCAGGGACATCTCTGTACCTGCTTCAAAATGCTCAGACTGACCCATGAAGCTCCACATTTTCAGAAGTTATAAGGCACTATGTGAAGGAGCCAGGCAAAGCCAGGAACTGAACAGTTATTTGCACACACAAGTGAATTTGTGTATCTTCTCACCTCCCTGGGAGCCGTCTACAGCACGGCAGCAATTAGTACCTATGCTAAGCTGTAGCAATATGTCAGCCTCCTTGCACAGGTGCTTCAGTGAAACTCAGAAAAAACACAAGCACAAGAAGTTCTTGATTGAGAGGTTTCGTAGACAGTATTTCCTTTCTTCGAAAGGCTCCTGCCCTTCTCTTCTCCATTTTTCATACCAGAGAAAAGCTCACCTGTGCCAGAACCCATCTGCTCCTACTGACACACTGCCTGCCTCCCCCAGCTACTACAGTAACTGCCCCTCGTAATTACATATTTTGCAGCTATTTTTATAGGGATCTCATAACAGAAAGACTAGTGGCCTAGTATCCCCCACGCACCGCAGTGTTGATACACACCATCATCTTCACTCCTTTCCCCAGTCAGCTCTACCGATTCTGAGAGTGAAGCCAGAGATGTGCGCCGCGATGATGCTGCTGAAGCAATGCTGGGTTGCTTGCTACCAGGAAGACGGCTGACCCAGTGCTCACAGAGTGAGGAGCTTGTGGAGCCTGCAAGCAATCAGACACAAACATGAGGCCAGTAGCGTGCCGCTGCAGAACATGTGAAACCTTGGAAGGCCGCTGAGAGTCAGGTATGTACTGCACTGCACTGGCTTTGACAGACACGTGAGGTCTGGAGCTGGCCCACACAGCCACAGCATCCAAATATTGCTGAGAGAATCAGTCTTTACTCTTATGAAATAGTTGTGATCACAAGTGAAAGACAGAATTGCACTTGTCCCAGTACACTGTGAATCAAAAGAATCAGTAAAACAGCAGGCAGGCAGAGGGCACTCCTTGAGCTGCCACAAAAACACAGTGCAAACCCTCTCCTTTCCAAAGGCAAGTCACCAAGCCTGCATCTGTCCCCAGCTCACCCTGGATTCAACTGACACATTCAGCTGCCGGCTGCCTACCTGAGACCTACGGTACTGCTTGAGGGAATGAGCTAGTCATGTTTTTACGTCGTGGTTTTGACAAGGGCAGCTCTGACCAGCATTACCCACAGAGGTAGAGGGCAGTTCCCCCATCCTCACAGCCTCTTTGCCACAACTAGCCTTAACAGAAGAGGCGAGAGTTTCCCACAGCCTCTGATGCGCAGCAGCCTCAGACAAGTCTCGCTGAGTTCTGGGACAGAGTCAAGGCTTAAGCAGAGACGGGCACAAATTCTGCAGGACAAAAGATCCATGAAAGACAAACTACAGCCACTTCTTGACAATTCCAGCAGGGCTTACCTGCCACAGAGCTGTTAGCAGACCACGATGGGATTGCTGTGCGTCTCTGGTAGAAAAGAATATAAGCTGTCTGCTTGCAGACTTCATTTTCAGAAAGTTGCTGAACATCACTGTCATCAAAGCAGTACCACTGGCCATCAACTGAGTTTTTGCAATATGCTGAGAGAAAATACATTACTATTAGACTTTCCTCACTCCTACTACTCTCAGGTTTGCTGTATGATAACTTAAACTTTACTTAAACTCTTGCAGTCTGGCTTGCAAGATGGAGGCCTGAGGCCACCAGTATACAACAAAAGGATTTTCTCTGTCCAACCTTACTGCTCAGAACAGTACACCATTTGGGGTGGCTCCATTCACTTCACATTCTGTTACTTGTGGCAGCCTGCCTCCATCAGTGAATCTCCTTCTGACTGAGCCCACCCAACACAACACAGCTCAGAGATGTACATCAGAGGGCAAAACCCGACACACACATTTTCTGGGCTGCTGTGTGAAGTCATACAGATCCTAAGAACCACCGAGCAACTTGGTCTATCTCCGGCTGCTCTGGGAGCTGCTGGAGCAAGCAAAGAGGAGTTCACAAACTGTCTGTGCACACAGCCAATGTGCAAATACTTCCTATGTATAACAGCCTCTTGGAACTACAGAAGTTCTGCGTTGAGTGGCCAGGAGCATTTCTGAAACATGAAAAGCCAGTTACATTACTCTGAAGGAAAAAAAAAAACCACAGCAGAGAAAGAAACATACAGTAAGATATTTGGGGTCAACAAGCATTGTTCCATTCCTCAAAGTCATAAAAGTTACCCCTCCGGTATTACACAGCCAGCCCTTCTTAGTTGGGTTAGGTTCTTTCGTCAAGGAAGATGAAGTAGTTATGGATACTCAATAGAAAAATATAACCTTTTTTTTTCTGAAAGGATCCAACATACATAATATTGCAGGATACTTGCCGGTGTAGTGTCCCCCTTGCATGGTGCCATGATGATTGCAGACAGCATACAGGTCATAGATATAGTCCTCAGGATCCCTTCCGAGACCATAAGGTCTCCTCCAGGGTGACCAGTGAGATGGCAGACTCCAGCTGCTCTGACTGCGTTTAACAACATGCGGAGTCATGTCCAAGCCACTCAGGGGGAATTTAACCATGTTCTGAAGTTTCATCCTTCGGTCTCCTTCCTGTGTGAAGAGAGAATAGCGTGAGCTGCAGTGGCAGCAAGGCCACCATGCTTGGGGAAAACAAAAGCCCAGGAGAGGAATGCGTAGGGCAGAAGAGCTGCTTCTGAAGAGGTGGTCTAGCCAGGTCACTCCCTGTCTGAGCAGCAGTCCTTCAGCATCACTGCAGATATCCTTACCTGTCTAAACCTTTTAAGATGTATGATGAGGACATCAGGTAAGGTCCAGAGGCTCAGTGTGATGCTACCCTGCTGCAGCTGCTTGCAGTGTGGGCATCGCCATGCATCATCTGGGGCAAGCTACAAGGAAGAGGCATGTGTGGGTATTAGTTTTCAAATTCTGAGGCAGCTTTCACTACACCACTGTTCCTCTGCTGCCCCAGGCCAAGTGCAGACGCTGACGCCTGCACCCCATCTACCTCCAGCATTTATCAAGGTCATTGGAAATGCAGGGCTCCCAGTGGTGCTTTTCAAAATAGTGACAAGCAGAGACACGCGCTCCTCACGCAGGAGGCACTTCCCACTGCAAGACAGAACTCACCTAGTGCTGCTGTGCAGAGAAGCTATTTCCACCTTATAAACCCCAATCCCTTTGAAGTAAGGGAGAAGAAAAAACAAAGGCAAAAAGCAGGCAGGTTTGGCAGCCTGAGTAAAAGTATTCTCACAAGAAACCCAGCAGCAAAGAAAGAATCAGAACAGAAAGATGACAGGTGTCTTCATTCATCTCTTGACACCTCACTGCCCAAAACCCTCTTCCTCCCTATGTCCCAATGGCACAGACTTAGAAACTGCAGAGATTTTCATTGTCCACCAAGAAGAATGTGTCTTTTCAGAGATACAAACACAACACAAGTTTCCCTCCACAGCCCAGTGCTCAGAAAACTCAGAAGCCAGAGAGCTTTAAGCTGCCAAACAACTTTTCCCTCACCTCTGAAAGAAGCAACAAGAGAGGCTCTAAAATTATTAAAGCTCAATCATGGGTCCGCAGTCCGCCCCTAGGACCATCCCTTTTTACAGCAGATTAGAGACCTCTGGCAAAGAAATACAGATTGCTTACATGTTCCAGGCAGGGGCAAGATCAGACCCATCTCTAGTCTGCCCTGTGGCACACCATTGTTCCTGCCACTTCAGCCTTCTTGCACCACGAGCAGAGCTAGAGGAGGAGAGCAGCCATGCTTTTGGAGAACTGAGCTCAGTGGTCACTGCGCTGTCAATTGGAGGGGGTCCCACTCAGTCAGGGTTGTCTTGAGCCCACCCCAGCCCTGCTCAGGCTTAGAAACACACAACTGTTCCAAGACAGAGCAGTAAATTCCCATGAAGAAGCCACATTGTTTTAACCCTTTACAATGTATGCCAGACATTACCATTTCACAGGGAGGAAACTGCAGAACAGAGGAGTAAGTTCTCATATCAACGGGGGGGCGGGCAAAAAATCCAAAAGCAGTACCTCTCACAACTTTCTCCTCACTGCAGAGAAACTCTGTTAGCAGGACTCACGACTGTTAACTAGAGTTGTGCTACAAATTTATCCTCCTGTCTCAACAAATAGGTGTTTGTAGAAAACAGCTACTCTGCTGAGCATGGGAGTTCATGCAGCACGCGAACCAGCCAGATCTTTTGAGTCCTGGTTGCTATACAGCCTTCTCCCTACCTGTTCCTCTTTGGTGTACAGTTGGAAACACTGAGATAAAGTGCAGGTCTGAGGTTGATGATGAAGCTCTCTCTGCTGGCGGACACTTTCAGAGTCTGGAATATACTCCTCTTCTGTATTCACAAACAAGCTGCATCAGGGAGACAACACATTTACCAGCACATCCACCTGCTCCCCACACTGCCGAGGAGCCCTTCTGAAGTTACAATCAGCAGCTCTTGCCTGGATTTGTCCCATTACGTGTGAGCAAGAGCTGACTGGCAAGAGATCTGACCAGGGCAACACAACTGAACACAGGGGTAAACAGCTTCAGTGGGCACCCACTCCAGTTTATCCCAGACAGAAAAAGCTGCTCACTGCCCACAAACTTTCTCACATGAATATGATTCGTGGGGGGAAGAGCCACAGGCCAGACTCCTGCTCCATAATGCAAAACCTCAGCTGCAGAGAAAAGGACTCCAACTCAGAGCAAATCTAGGGCACCCAGCCCCAGGCTGTCCCTGCGGACAAGGGCCAGGGCACGGGGTGGAGTTTCTTAGGGGTCTCATGTTTGCTGAAGGGTGCACAATTCACACAAGCAAGCTCCCAAGCATTGTTCTCAAGGTGAACATGCTTTAAGGTTTTCTACTTCATACTTACTAATCTTTAGTTTCTTTGTCCCATTCTACCACTAATTTCACATGAGCAGTTCCCCCCTGTCCACATGACTTCAATGCCCTGGAGAGAGGAGCAGACAGAAGTTAGACCACCTTTCAATCTGAACCCTATGTTATCTTTTACATGCATATAACTTCTCTCCACTGGCCCTTCATCCTTCCTCCACTCCCACATAGCTCAAGTTTGCAAAGGAGTAAAAGGAATTCATACAGCAAAGAACATGGCAAAGATGGCAAACTGAGTTTACCTAAGTACATTAACTCTGTAAGTAAACGTACACTTATTTACAGAACAGGCATCTACAAAAAATTCTAAACAGTCATTAAACAAAAAGTTAAAAAAAGGGGGGGAGTAATACTTTCATTGTGTTCTCCATTTCTGAGGACAGACTCCAGATGGCACGACACACAACTGATCAATCCTCACACAGCTTCTTGAGGACACTCAGTCATTTCCCTGCCCCTCAGGCCTATGAAGTCTGTTCCACACATCCACACCAATACTGTCCCTTTCTGCATGGCTAGACACTGAGTTCCCAGCTGACAAACCTCTCTCCACTCCTCGGAATAAGGACCAACTCACCTTTCCACTGCTGGATGGCAGAGAGGTCGCTCCTCCTGAGGTAGCAAGTATGTTATGCCTACAACACTGACCACTCGCAAACTGAATGGGCAAACCTGCAACAAAGAGAGTAGAAGCCATGTCAATGGCTCAAACCCAACTTACCTATGCACAAACCTGCTCTCAGCACCAGCTGACACATACTTTATCCTAGAAGGTGTATTTTTATTACATGAGAAAGCAAATGCACGAGGCCTCAAAGCTGCTTGGCATAGGCATATAACAGAAGGGTGAGGTACAGCAACTGAGGCTTTGTACCCAATAACTCCTCCAGAGAAGACTCCTCTTCACCCCTCTGCTCTCAGATGGGGTTCTCATCAGAAACACACAGTCACTAAGGACATGTTTCAGCTTTTCTTTTAGGCAAAGGCCACCAACCAGTGGATTTCCAGTGCAGGTAGCAGCACTAACCTCTCAAGTATTTTTTTTGAGGGCAAGGAAGGAAGTCAAGCATGCAATTTCTTCAACTTATCAGTCTAATCTTACCTGCACCTTTCAGCAAGTAACAGACAAAAGCACCAAAGGGGTGGAATACCAGATTTGGACACTATTGCACAAAGAAATATTGGGAAGCCATCAGTTCAGCGTGTGCAGCATGATTATCGCTCAAAGTAACTGGCTTCCCCTTTAGTTCACGTCGCACAGTGTTGAAGGTCTCAAAACAGAGGAACCATTTGCCTCACCTGCATGCAGGCTGTAGGCCGCAGGAAATACTGCATCTTCTCCAGAATTTCCTTCTGCAGAATATCCCAAGCAATTGTTTTTTCCAAATGCAACACAAAGGGCAAGCCAAACCTACAGGAAGAAGTAGCATTTGAGGGAGCAATTAAAAGATTATTCTGTTCAGCAGTGGGATCCTCAAACTCTGACAGTGCCACTCTCCTCCTCACTCAGCACCTATGGAGCTCAGCATGCTTTGGAGGAAGCTCCCCAGAAATTAGGCATTTAAAAACTTGTCCCCAGAGGAGAGGGGCTTAACTTCGAGGAAACACTGTTTCAGCTGCCCATGCAAAGGGTCCTTTTTAATGGGCTGCAGCCCTGCTCTGTGCTCAAGTAGTTTGCTTCAGGCTGCAATGCTTTGCAACCTGGCTGGGATGACTTTTTGTGAAACAAACTTCAGCGCCTGAGATAGTTCTCAGTCCAGGGTTGGCGGAAGCCATTGCGATGTTTGTTTCTCACTTCCCCCCACTGTTTGCACTCCAATTAAAAATTTCCACACATCACAGGATCTGGTCAGACTTGCTTGCTGCTCTCTGAAACCAGACAGCTCTACAGAGGGATGTACATCCTTCCAACTGGTCTGCATTGACCACTTTCCAGTAACACTGGACTATTTGAAGTTCACCAAAATTAGGAATATTTTGCTGCATTCATTAATGTTTTTTGATCAACATGCTCTTTAGCACCTAATGCAAGCTAGGAATGCAAGCTGTTGCTCCTTCACCTTGTGTTTTCACTACACTGTGAGTAAAACCCAGATCAATTAAGGAAGCAGCCAGAAGAGTAACTCTAACTGTGAAGCTGCCAGTCACCTTTTGCTCTGCTGTCCAGTGCACGCTCTGTTACACACCAGCAAGACAATCTTGTCGTTCGCTGCTGGTTTAGTAGAGGACTGTTCCAGTTTTCCAGACTTCACTGTTCCTTGAGAGTACGGTATTGTTCGGGAGTGCTCAGTGCCACATTTCAAGTTATTCAGGTTATTGTTCACATGTATTCCTGAAAAATTAGAGAAAGGAAACATTTCGTTACGTCACTTGCCTTTAGTACCCTGATGCTCCCCTGAAGAAACTCTCCTTCAGCTGCAGAGGAGCAGGTCAGCATGGAATCAAGACCATTTTTATCACTTGTATGAAGGCTTCAAAGAGCATTTACTTTTCATAGTGACTTTCTTTACAGAAAAAAAATTATATGCAAGTGTTCACCTAACTGATTTTTCACAGCAATTTGTACAAGCACTTATAGCTTCCTCTGCGTGCAAGAAAAGCTGAAGTGACAGAAGCTCTACTTGTTACTTCCAATAATAAAATTTGCCTTTGATTACACTCCGTCTACCCAGGATGCAATTATTCCCTTTCACTGAGAGGGAGATGCAGAGAAGCTGAGGCTCCTGAGCTTTGAAAGAGCAAGTGTTTGTTCATTCCTGAGACTGTTTATTCATCACTGGCAATCTGATTTTAAATAACACCATTTCAGTGGCTTCGTCTGGTCCCTAGCAGGTCTTTAAATTAAGCCTCACAACAGATTTCACATTAAGCCAGCCTGGCCTGCAGAATCAGCCCTGGGAAGAGGAAGAAAGGACTGTATATTGCTTCTTGATAACCTCCCAGCTGACAACACCATTAAGTCTGCTGGAACGAGCCTGGACAAAGCCAGAGTTGAAATCAATACACCAGAACACCAACTGCTTGTGGGACTTTTATTCTCAAGTATATCCTTTTCCAAAACAAGCCTGCCTCACCCAGTCACCTGAGGTGGGCATTAAGCAGAGTTATCGACTTACCTCTCTGACTGAGGATACCCTCGGGCCTAAATATCTCTGGGGTCTCAAAGGCAAAAATGCAGTCGCTTTCATGAATGGTGTCCAGGTCATCAGTATCACAGAAGGAACGATGAAATCCATCATAGTACATCTCCGTCAGCACGATCTAGAGTCAGCAGAAGCAAACCAGAACCCATTAAACCACCCATGTCTGGTCCAGCTGAGCTGATCCATCTCTCAACTGGGATTCTCCTGCTAAGGGATGGTATTCCTCAAAACATCCTGGCATCAGCCACAAGCAAGGAACAAGGAAAAGGACTGCCATAAAAGAGAAGCTGGGGTAAAGGCAGCACATGGAGAGGCTCTGGTGGGATCCTACAGCTTTCCTGAAGCTCTTCCTACAGAGGAATGCCCAGTGGTTCCCTCACTGCCAGCACGCACAAATCACTGTGTGATCAGGCAGGTCTGCACACCCCACCGATGGCTATCCCAACGTCACTAGGTTTGCAAAAGCCAATGCACAGGGAAAAACATGATTCAAGTTGCCACTACCCTGCTTCCCCCATTCAGTCATGGGCAACAAATTTCAATTCCTACATATGCAACATGGGATGAAAGCCTCCGCACTCCCTCCTGCCGAAGGTAGGGCACATGGGTGACGAGACCAGCCCGTTACCTGCTCCGTGGGTATCTTGGTCTCTGAGGAGACAGCCTCCCGCAGCCTGGCCACCGTTCCAGAGATGGGCACTGCCACCCCGATCCGCATGCAGTGAGAGCACTTCCCCTGGTACACCACGGTGATGTAAAGCGGCCTGCGGAGAGTGCGGGAGGCACTGCTGGGGCTGGGCTGAGCACCTCTTGGCAGTACCCTGAACAGAGTCAGCCCAACCGGGGTGCACCCAGGCTGCTCATAAGCTACAGGGCCCTCCTGGCAGTTGGATCCACCTCACACAGGAGTTATGCTCAGCCAGGAGAGTAAGTTTGATTTGCAAAGACTCCTTTCTTACTACATGGACTGGTGTTACTTGCTCCCGTAAGCAGAACATCCTCTCAAAAAAGCCCCACAAAGTTAAAAATAAACTCTCTATGACAAGGCGATCATGATTTTCCAACAAGGATCCTGTAATGCTGCTTAGGACACTTCGAGGCAGCCCCTTAAAGCACTCAGAGAGAGCTGCTGCTGGATACAGCTCCTCCAGGCTGCCTCCCAACATTCAGTCCTGCCTCCACCAGCAGCCAGAGCACTACCTCGGGAAGAGAAGAGTGGGGCAGCTAGCCTAGCAGGGACCCCTCCCTGGAAAGCCCACTCAGACTCCACTTGGTGGTGAAGCAGGGACTTCTGAACCAAATGTGACATAGTCATATTTAACATGTCCTTTCATTACTTTCTTCCATTGCTTCTTGAACCCATACAAGTTTTCTGCATCCAAAACATGATGTGAAGGAGTTGCTTATTTATACAACAGGTAGTTTTGCTGTGCATCTGTATCTTCACTCTGGAAGTGTGCGGATTTTTTTTCCCCCCTCCCTGGAGCTTTTTTCTCTTTGTCAACAGCTGTCTTTCAAAAAAGCAAAACATTTTACAGAAAAGCTTTTAACTTCACTTTTTGAAATTGGAGTGATCAGCAAGACTGTTCTAAAGAAAGTTAAAAAAAAGTGTTTCATCCTTTTCCCCTTTTTAATTTTAAAATGCTATAAATTAAGTCAAAAGCAAAATATTTTGGTTACCTGAATCAAAGCTATTTTTTTCCCCAAAAAAATGAATTCTATAGTAAGTTAAGGGTGGGGGCGGAGGGCCATTCTGAAACAGGCAAAAGGTTCAGCTTTCCAATTTACCTGCAAAGCAAAAATTTAAGCCCCATATGGTCTCATAGATCTTTTTTTAAGACTTACCGGAGAGATTTTGCTGACATGTCTCTTCCTTCTGTAGCAAAGTAAACAACACTATACGCATGGGCAACAGCCAACGTTAAGTTCAGGACAGTTACATACCGTGTATGAGGCAAAGGAATCGGTAGAGAGATGCAGAGAAAAGGGTCAAAGGTGTTACTCTGCTTCTGGCAATGAGGGCACGTCAGAGAGGACCTAGTACAAATATCAATAATAGGACAGAGTTATACCTCATTTCATCAGCTCCTGATTTCTAGATCCTTTTAAAGCAATTAGTCTCGAAGTTCATTACAGGGCATGCCAGGAAAAGACTTCAGTCACTGAATTTGGCTTTAATAAACATCACTGCAAAATTAATAATTCACCACCAGCAGCTTCAACATGGAAGGTCTGGAAGGGTTTTGTCTTTGAAAAGAGGGGAAGTGATGGGAAAGAGATGGCAACAGTCAGCACTGCAGGTGTACAGATGTCTTACTCCGAAGGGAAAAGCTCCAGACAATACATCTCTCCCATTCAGAATTAACCTGCACCTTACACTGGCTTTGTGTCTTATACCAGGCTTAAAGTTTCTCCTTTGCAAAGAAAGCCTTGGCAAATATTGGTAAGAAAGGCGCCAGCAATTAAAGTTCTTATAGCAGTACAGACACAAGCCATTGAGGAGCACTGGAAATTAGGCTGTTTTCTTGTATTAACTCTGAAATCAGAAAGCTCGCTTTCCAGGAAGTATAGGAAACTCATGGGAAAGCCCTGAAGGGACAGTGAAAGATTCAGCTCAGAATTCCCGAGTGCCAGATAACAGGAACTCTGCAAGATGCCTCGGATCCATAACTCTCCAGCAGCCTCCAGGCACCTCCAGCTCTTGCCACAGGCTCTTGCCTCTGAACAGCCAGGGTAAGGCTCACAGGACTGAGCAGTCCCAAATCTTTGATCCACTAAGCACTGATTTGCTTTCAGAATGCATTAGGGCAGGTGAAGAAGCAGTACATACTGCAGATTTTCACAGAATATACCAAATTCGAAGTAGCAAAATTCTCTCTCTCCTCTGGAGCAAGATCTTCGTTCAGATTTCATTCATCAGGAATTAATAAACAGCTGTTAATACAACCACACCAGCCTCAACTGTACTGGGAGCTAGCATCAGGGTAGAATTATACTGAGGTCACCAATACATGCAATAATGCCTCAAAATTTACCAAATATCATACCTGTACTGGGCTTGAAAGAGTTCCTGCACAAAAGTACTACTGATTGGAAAGGCTGGTCCCTCGAACAGCACATCATCCTCCAGCGGTGGCTAAAAGAGAAGAATAAATCCCAGAAGCACAGCCAGACGTGGACGTGCACCATGCCAGATGGCTCCAGCACTCCTAGGCGAATTTGTGCCCTCCTTGCCCAAAACCACCAGAAAAATGTCACAAGATTTTTAAATAACAAGTGCGCTCTGCTCACATGGGTGGTTATGCAGGAACGTGAGGTAGCAAGGGCAGCCCAAGCAAAGGCAGGGGTCTCACATCGATGATGTGTCTGGCAGCCCCTCCCCTGTAAGGACCCCCAGCTCTTGCAAGGCGGTATATGACATTCACAGATGACTGTATGGGGGAGCACTTGCCAGTGAAACGGCTAGTTGCGTTCACAGGGCCAGAAACAAACAGTATTTTAACCCAAGCTTTTGTTCCATCCAAACTATTGGAATTGAGTAGTGAACAGGGAGATCTAATTCAAAATGAAGGACTGCACGCAAAGTTACAGGTACTCTCCTATGTTGGCTCCCACCAAAATCTCTTACCTTGAGTGGAGGCATGCCACTGTAATTCACTACATTGTTTAGATCTTCATGGACTCTGTCTAGAAGCCAAAGCAGGAACTCCTGCGCATCATGCTGGGCATTCCCACGGTACTGCATAGCGTTCTTGGACACAATGTTCTGCAGAGAGACAGAGATGGCGTACAGCAAAAGCCCAAGAGTTGAGCTCTTCCCTTTACCAAGCCCTCGCCATCAGACAGGCAGAGCTGACAGTGCACCCAAAACCAGGGACGGCCAACAGCTCTGGATGGGGTACTGCCTCCCCACACCACCTGGGGACAGGCCGGGACGGACCATCGCGTGCTGGACCCTGCGCACACCTGGAGTTAAAGCAGCAGCTGATGCCTTGCTGGGCAGAGAGACTGTCACCTGCTCTCAGAATAGACACGGGGCTGTGGAGGAACTGCATCATCCTTGAAACAGAAATGTTTATAGCAAACCCGGGGTTCAACTCAGATGAGATGAACACCAAAACAATCAGTCTAGAGTACTTTCACACAAGCCAAGAGCAAGGCAAGCTCACTTCAATGTACTGACAATGACAGGCAGTATTTCCCATGCTAACACAGAGCCGAGGCCATTTTCAATCATACCTGTCCATGCACCACAGGGTCTGAAACTGTTCAGCTTGCAAAACCTTCTATTTGTTTAAGCTGAAGCAAAACAAGTATCTAGTCTCCTAATGTCCACTCACTCCGTTTAGCTTGTTCCTGCTTTGGCGAGGTAACAGATCTCCCAAAACTTAGATGCAGATGCTCAATGCTAATATAGGTGTACAACCCCAGGAATCAGCCAAGATCAGTACATCAAAACTGCAGACGCTTCTACAAACTGATCATCCCAATAATCTGCAGGCAGAGCAAACTTACTTTCCATCAGACTTCCTCTTAAGCACATAAGCAGTACAGTCACCACATAATTTTCTCCACCAGGTATCAACTATTCACTACACACAACTCGCTCATCCTAAGTACCACCTTCTATTGCCACTACCCGAAACAGAAAACTTGCCTAGTACGGATGACTGAGCAGGAGGAAAGGCGCAGTTTACACTGGCATTACAATTACACACAGTTACGAACCACCGTCCCAGCCACGGAGATGCGGCTTTCCCTCTCGCTGGGGCGAGCACAAGGAACTGAAGTGACGCAGCATGACCGATGCCAGAGCAGTGCAGCACGGACCGGTGCTGCTGGACCCGCAAACTTGAAACAAGGGAGGACTCGGGCAGCCACAGGTGCGATACGCACAACTGCCACCACTTTGGATACATGCTGAGAGCCTGGGGAATGCATCTGATTTACTCTTGAATTTCCAGAAAAGCTGCCTCGGAAGGACACCAGCACACCCAAGCGATTTGCTCAAACCTGTTTTTCTTCCGGACACAAACGGCAAGGGCTTGAAGTTCACCAGCAACTGAAATCTGCTCTTCGCAGATTTATCCTTGCCCTGCAGCTTTTTCACCTTTTGTACGTTGAAGTTCACACTGAGCTCTCCAGCTGGGTCACATATGCCCCTTCCTCAGGATGATGTCTTCTCCTCCTCCTCGAAAAGCCAACAGGAGCCCACAGCAGGGTTTAGAAGGGCATCTCCCTCACCAACAACCAACACCAGAGCACACTTTCTCTGCTCCAGCTCTCCAATCCCACTCTTGCCTCTACAATCACACCCAAATGGCCAGCCAGCACTAGCTGCTGCGTGCCAGGGGACACGGCACCGACTTGGAGGACAGAAGCCAGGCACCAGCTTCTGCACTCAGCATCGCTGGCATGAGTACTCCCTGGAGTAACGTGCCATGTTGGGCTGATCTCAGCAGCTGAGCCATGGTTCCTTCCCAAGCAGTAGATGCCACTGCTGCCATAGAAAAGCCAGCAAGTTCTGCTTCTCCATGGAGGCACAAGGCTGCAGCCAGGAGAGCCAGCCTGCTCCTCCTGCTGCTCTTGAAACAGCCGGGACGTTCATCTAACACACAGACACAGGTCAGACACCCCCATGCTCCCTCTCCACCAATTCTAACCACAGAGTCAATACCCAGCTTTTCTTTGTAAGAAACAGGCTCATAGCAAAGCTCACATCAGTTGCACAGCTATTCCCCAACCTCCCTGTGCTGCACACTACCGGGAAAAGCAATCCTGTTTGGGATGTGCCATGTTAGCAGCGCTGTACCTACATCCATTGGTACACCCACGGAGAGACAGAAAGTGCCTACAGGGGACTCAAGCTTGTTGGAGCAGGGTCCCCATGAACGGGCAGCGGCACCAGCACAGACCAGGAACCACGCGGAAGGCTGCGGCAGAGCAGCTGCCCCGGGGAGCGCCAAGAGGGGCCAGGCAGGCGGCACGCAGGGTACCAGAGCTCCTCCATTCCTCTAATCAGCCTTTGGAACAGATTTGAGAAATGAGGTTGGGCTGCTCGCTTTATCCCTCTAGAAAATGGGGTCACCAGAAGCAGTGGGGGTGATGAAAAAGACAGGAGAGGACTGATAAACATATATTCTCTATCCTCTATAATCTATCTGCCTACCTCAAGGCAGTAATATAAGGGAAAACAGAAATAATCTGCTCTCGTTACATATATGCAGGCCCTTCTGACAACAGATTTACTGCCCTTGTCTGCACAGCAACCAGCACCCTCCCCCTTCAAATACACAGTTTTAAACAAGGGAGCGGTGCACAGGGAATGCTCACCTCTGCACCACACAGGTGTGAGCGCAGCACACCCCTGCTCAGTGCTCAACCTAACGGGAGCTTGGGACACTGCTGCAAGCCAATTTACTGGGTAGAAAAATCTGAAGTAGTCTGTAAGGACTCAAAGACGGAAGGAAATCAAACAGCCTTCTCCGGTCCTCGTTCCCATTAAGCAAAACAAGATCCACTGGCAGGAACAAGTGACAAAACACAATCCAAAAAATGATCTTAACCCTCTTCGGGTATCAGCCTGATACCTCTTACCCTACTTCAGCAGAAAGCCTAGTGAACTATTCATGTTGCACCAAATTATGAAATGTATCACTAAGTGTGAAAATACAGCCATCATGCTTGCAGATCCTGGTCTGATACCTAAACACTCGACATTCACCCAGGAGATATCAGGACAAGATGGGAACGACACGGAGAAACCTAAACCCACCGCCCCCGAGTCGCACCTAGAGACACAACCTTGTTGTTCCCTAGTGAACTATTCATGTTGCACCAAATTATGAAATGTATCACTAAGTGTGAAAATACAGCCATCATGCTTGCAGATCCTGGTCTGATACCTAAACACTCGACATTCACCCAGGAGATATCAGGACAAGATGGGAACGACACGGAGAAACCTAAACCCACCGCCCCCGAGTCGCACCTAGAGACACAACCTTGTTGTTCCACCAGCTGACACTGGCTAGCCTAGACCACGGATGCTTTCATAGCCAGATCTCTCCTTCACACCACTAAACATCCTTCAGCTGAATGCTGCAGCACAGGGTCCCACTCCCACTGACTTTATTACAATTCCCAGTCTTACACTTCTCCCGTTAGATTTACTGAACACTAGTTTCTTGATCAGAGCATCACACATTCTTTTATTTTTAAGGGAGCTCCAGGCTGACCCACCTCAGGGCACTCACAAGGCAGCCCCTCGCTGTTGGATACCAGCAGGTCTCGAGGGGCACTGCTCCACAGACCCAGGCCCTGCCTGCAGCAGGGGTGAAGGAGCCCCATGACACCGTGACTTGAGTCCGTGGTCCCAGCTAACAGTCAGTCGCTGCTGACAGGACTTAGTGGGTCATCTAGATTAGGAAAAATTAATATTCCAAAATACCCAAACCATCCACAGCAAGGAGAGAAGGCTGATATTCATGGCAGCTGTGTTTAGCTGAAACCACTTGTAGGGAAGAATTTAAGACATACACGTAGAGACTTCCTTTGCAAACATTATCTTTGTTCAAAAAAATTACACACTGAAAATTAAATTTAGCCCTTGAATTACTGTGTCACATTCCAAACTGAAAATCAGTCACCAAAGTGTGAAGCAGAGATTTTAGTCCAGTTTCAAGTGGTTATCTCACTACATATTTTCTCTACAACTGCTATCCATGCCTCCACAGGAATACATTTGCCTTTTAATGGCCTTATTCATCCCTCCCATTCCCTCCTGCACCCAGCTCAGCACACCAAGATGACGACATCCAGTACCACCACGGAGGCAGGAGGGCTCCAAAGGCAGTGCAGGTCGCAGCAAGACCAAGCTCATTCTTTTCCACAGTGAGCTGACCGAAGAGTGCCAAGAGAAAGAGAGGTGCTGAAACACACACGCCCACCCCCGCAGCAGCGTATGGTCTTCGCCGCACTAAGATATAAAAAGGTATGATATCATCAGGCCAGCATTAACGCTTTTCAGTTGGCAAGCTAAGAGCCAGCTGCCTTATCTGGTCTAGTTTGCTTTAGTGAAGTTGGCCAACAGGTGCTACCACTGCACTTTAAGTCCTAGTCTAGACAGAGTTGAAGATAAAAGGGTCTTTAGTATTGCTAGGAGGAATTGCATCTGGTATTTCAAGTAAAAAAGAGGGCATGGGGAGGTTCTGTACAGAAACAGACATAAGTAAGAATTTCAGGAATCCAGGGTAGTATTTCTTATCACCTCTCTCTCAGCATCACCAGCATGTCACTCCAGCCTAGACCCTCGCTGGCTTTTACTGACATGCGTTCCTGGTGATGTGTTGTCCCATCACGAGCTGCACAAGCCCCTAACACCCCACAGCAGGGCGAACCCCAGGGATTCGCAACAACCATGTGCCTTGGGCCGTATCTGTGTCATTCCTCATCTCAGAAGCATCTCCTTGATTGCTGTTCTGGTTTCCTCGACACTCGCAGCCCGAGTGGACCAAGGATAAAGAGCTGCCTGTGGAGACAGATCACAAGATGTTGGAAGTGATTCAGGAAGCACTACAAAATATCAGATGCAATTCCCTCACAAGAGGCCCCGCTACAAAAACACTCCAGCAATAGCAGTGTGTTCCCAGCGTTACTCATGCTTCCTGCCATCACTGCTACAAGTGGGTTTGTCATTACTTAAACCTCTGCGTCTGCTGCTCTGTGAAATGTTACGTGCCTTCCTCCCAATACGTTCTAAGA